GTGATTCATTTTCACATCGATGATGCTTCAACACTTATTTCGAGTATATCATCTCAGACTATTTGTTTGTTGATGCCAGCTCGCATGAGGTATTCTGGGTATCTTTGCTTTGGTTGCGCTTTTTACAGACATATTATTCGTTTGGTATTAAAGTGCTTCAAATTTATCTGTCCGTATTTTATTGCTTTCTAGATATCATGAGAAGTAGGAAATAAAGAGCGTGCGTTCAAAGTCGTTGTTTAAAGTCTTGTAGCAGGCACTGCTTTCTATATGCTATTTATGTTTTCTTAAAATCCTACCTTTGAAATAGGTATTCTGCACGTGTGTTTACATTTGTGCCCACATTATATTACAAATGATAAGTCCTTAAAAGGAGGTAAGCGGAGAGGGATCATAATCGACTCCCGCACATTCTAGTCTGTGTCGTCCTTAGCTCACGTTGTACGTCGATGCTTCGAAGTTATGCAGATCATGTGCATCAAGTCGGTCATGTGGAGAAGGGTTCACAACCAATCCCAACACTTTGTCAGGAGTTCTCAATGGCCATTGCTGATACTTCGCTACCCGCTTGTTTGCTTCAGGTGATCCGCTCCCCTTAGCTAAAGCACTTCTTTTTCTTTTTTATTTCATCTATCTTCTGCTTGCTTGCTTCGGGTGACCCGCTCCCTTTAGCTAAAGCATTTCTCTTGCTTCCCTCCCTCCTTTTGGGTCAATATGTGTTACTCATGTTTGCGTGCTTTTTCTAAAGCATTTGTTTGCTTACTCGCTTTCTTTGCATGTTCCCTTAGGATTCTCGATTAGGATAGCTTTCGAGCTAGACATTGGGATAGTTATCCACGCATGCTAACATAGGATAGAGATTTTCCTTTTCATCCTTGATATAGAGACATCATTGTATGATAACACTATGTTAGAGATAGGTTAGTCTCCCATATGTGTTTTCTTTCCATTTATGCATAATTGCATTTAAAACAAAAACTTCTTTCTTTGGAAAATATATAAAACATGTTAAACATACAAAAATCCTTTTCATGGTGAAAAAAACATCAACCAATTCATTTCTTTTTGCCATTCGACTTTTCTCTTCTAAGAGCGTGATAATTTCTTTCTGTTACAGTGCGTGAGTCTCCAATGGTCGAGCGACGGTGGAATGATTGAATTCAACACTGTTTATTAAAAAAATACAAACAAATAAAAATTTGTGAGCCGAACTACGACGCTCTGATTCTTTAAAAAGGATACGTAGGCATCTAGTCATGGGGCTCAGCCAAGCAAATATTTGTAAATACTTCCTTCTTTTTCCCGTATTTTCTTTGCATGCATTCCCTCTTAATTGTTATAGCTTTTAAGCATTAGATTGAACACACCTTTTTATTAGAATAACAAGAGTGGATCCTGTAGAGTACTACGGACGTGAGGGGTGCTAATACCTTCCCCTCGCGTAATCGACTCCCTTACCCGATCTCTCGGTCGCAAGACTTTGATTTTTCCCCCTTTAGGTTTTTCTTTGATGATCTTCCTTTCCTTTTATGCGGGACAAATAAATACTCGATAGCGACTTCATTGGTTTTACCGCTACAATATAGATTTATTCTGATGTCTTCTTTGTCATGAGATAGAGTTGCATGCCTCCAATCTGTGTCTCCTTGATGGAGAGGGATTTCCCTTCTTGGTGCCAAAGGGGAGGATCCCTTAGATAGATTTTGGGATAATATGATTTAGAAAGTTGACTCTGGTCTTCTCATAAATTTTTGGAAAGAACCTTGAGTTTGGGTTATTCCTTTGAAAGCTAGGTTCCCTAGCCTTTTTCTATCTCTGATCAGAATGATCGCTCAGTCAAAGAGGTTGGTAAGTTAGACGAGCACACATGTATTTGTGATCTTAAGTGGAGAAGATCTCGCATTTTTTAGTGTGAGCAGTTTAAGATTTCTGATCTTCTTGCCTTAGTTAGGAATTTTATCCATTCTTCCCAATTTGATAAGTGGTGGTTAAGCCATTCTAAAGATGGTTCATATTCTATGGCGTATGCGTACTCTTTTTTTTGTCTCAGTAGTTCCATAGAGATTGTCAGATCTCGATGATGGAGTCGGCTCTCTCTAGTATCTGAAATACTTAGGGTGCTCTAAAGTGTTAGTTTTCTCTTAGCAATTTCTACAGGTAGGGGTGAAAATAGGCTAGGCCAAGCTAGGCTTTGTCAAGCCTGAGTCTGATCTACTAAAAATTTCAAAGCCTACGTCTGACTTGTGGTCTATCATTGACTTTTTTTAGACCTGGGCCTAACCTTTTCTAAAGCTTGTTTGGCCTATTAACCTATATAAAAGCCTATTTTATTTGAACATTTATAAATAAGAAATTCAACTAATATTTAAATAGACTAAAAAATTAAATATCGATGAGACTAAATACTTATTTACATTTACTTATTCAAGTTTACCTATTAACATAAATTTTGTGATACTATTTATTAATAAGAATTAATGAAAACAACTTATGACATTGTTCATAAGCTTTTTTTAACATGTTTTTATAAATTTTTAAAAATAACTAAATTTTATTTTGCTATTTTAATTTAAAGTACAAGTAAAATATAATAATAAATTTATTCTTATTTATTAAATTATGTTGTTTTGATAAGTTTAAAAGATTTTTTTTATAGTATGTGATCTATTTTTTTAAACTAAATAGACTTATAAAAAAAGTTTAAGTCTTTTTTATTTAAAAAAATCGAACCTAGTCTAGACCTATGTAAGCTAGACCGTAAGTTCCTATTAGTTGACTTTTGACATATTTTAACTCCTACTTGCAAAATATGATTTTTGCTAGAGAGAATTTACTTAAGAGGGGATTGACATCGTTTCTGAGAGTGTCTTTTACCCTTTCTATGTGAGATTTCTAGAGTCGTCATCTCATTTGTTTATTACTTGTGAGATAATAATTTTTGTGTAATATAAAATTTCCGTATGGTCGGGTTGGTATGTAGTCATTCACAGACATTCTTTGACCATTTTTTTAGATATTTTATAATAGTAGTGATATGTTTAGGTTTAAGGGGGTTGGTTGATGATTTAACATGCTATGGTCTAGACAATTTGAAAATTTTGTAATGGTATAATATTTTCAAGTAAATTGGTGACACCAAAAGACTTGAAAGATATAATTATTCTTTTAGCTTAAAAATAATATTTGGTAGGTTTATAAAAAACTCCATACTTTTTTCGGTTTGACTCAAAAATATTCGGAGGAGATACTAGGAGCATCGATACATAGTGTAGGATTAGACACCATTGTGAAAGACACACCATTTATCCAATTAAAACTTTAAGGTGATAGGTGAGTGAATGCTCTCACTTATATATGTTTAAGTTTCAACATTCTTATTCAATGTGAGACTATTTTCTCAGTTACTCATATTTGCTATATTATTCTAACACTCCCCCCTCAAATTCAAAGGCTCATGATATCATATTAGAGAGAGATATTAAGAACGTCGATACATAGTGTAGAACTAGACACATTTGTGAGAGATACACCACTTATCTACCTAAAACCTTAAGGTAATAGGTGAATGAATTCTCTTATTTATGGATGTTTAAGTCTCCGTATTCATATCTAATGTGAAACTATTTCCCCACTTACACAGGTTTAATATATTTTATTCTAACAAAAAAATCCTATATGATATCTTAGTCAATAAGTTCAACCTACTCTAAAAGTGTTGTTATTTAGTGGAGATTGGTGTCATTTTTGTAAGTCTTTAAATAGATATATCTAATCAATGATCTTGTTTCATATTTCAATACTTCTTAGACCCTCTCTTAGTTTTTTTAAATGTTTTTTATTTAAAAAAACTCTTTCAAAAGTTCACCCCCTTTTATGTTAATCTTTCAGGCACAACGTGGCACAACTTGTCTATCAATCTTGTCTAAAGATAGTTGCTTATTGTTAGAGTTTATTTCAATTTCAAACACGCATTTTATTGTATTCTCACTATGAAAATAAACACACACTAAGTGTATATTTAATTCAATTTAAAGTTAAAATTTATAAGTACTATCTCTAAAATTAATTTTAAAATTAATTCTAAATAACTTTTAGATATTGTTCAACTCAATTTTATATAAATATATTTAAATATAAATTAATTTTTAGATATAAATGTATTATTCAATTTAATTTTATATAAATGTATTTAAATATAAATTAATTTTATTAAACTTAATTATAATAAAATCAATTATATTAAACTCATAATTAAATTCAAATTATATTAAAATCAATTTTATTTAACCAATTCAAACACATCCTTATAATGTATGTTTGATTTCAATTCTAGAAAATGTAAATGCACTTTTAGAGTGCAGAATTCTACAATAATTTTATTGGTTTATTAAAATAGAATTGATTTTTTGTCTCTAAAATTGATTTCATTTAAAGTTAAAATTTATAACTTTTAAAATCAATTATACCAAATTATACCAAACTCAATTCTGAGTACCATTACTTAATTACTTAAATATTTCTTTAAAAAATGTGACAAGCCATTACTTAATTACTTAAATATTTCTTTAAAAAATGTGACAAGCCTCACACAAAATAACTCAAACAACCAAACTCAATTCTGACTACCATTGCTTAATTACTTAAATATTTCTTTAAAAAAATGTGACAAGCCTCACACAAAATAACTCAAACAACCAAAATTAATTTTCCCATTGAAGATGCTCTAAAACTATTCTTTCAAAGTTTTTGAAAGTAAGTAAATTAACCAAAATCTATTAGTGAGATTAACAGATTAAAAAGAAATTAGGTATGATAACATATTTTTGTTTTTTGATTTGATTAAAAAAATGGAAACAATGTTTTTTATTTGAAATAGTTACTTGATTAGAATGATTGATACGGATTGTTTACATACATGATAGATGGTAGAACTAAGTGCCAATGTACATGACACACAAGACAACATTATTCTACTGCTAATAATAAAGAGAGGTTAATTATCATGATTGGGAAGAAGGTGCAAAGTGGAGAAGATGTTTGTAAGAAAGCCATGGCTTAACCAACACCACTGAATCAAACATCTGGTGATCCTCATTCTTCACCTGCGTAACCCATATCTTCATATAGTACTTGATTCCAGCCACTACTTGTTGCTGCGCCTCCACCACTTCCACGAACCTCAACTCCTCTTCCCCTTCTTTCCGTACTTTCACACTCCGGTTAAACTCCTCCACCGCGAATCTTCCCAGTTCCTGTACCTCCTCGTTTGTCCTCACGTTTGCGATCTCTGTTTTGCCACCCACCACGCGAGCCCTGTAGGAAGCTGTACTGCACACTACGCATGCTGTCATCAACATCATTATGAATGCCGCCGCCGCCGCCGCCATTGATCAATTATCTCCCTCCAAACGATGAAGTTGAGTTGTTGTGATTTTCTTTTGGTCTTTGTTTTGCATGTTGCATATATGGTAAGATCACGGTATGGGTTTATGCTGGAACGAGAGCTACGTGGTTTGCTGTATTTACCAGAGACGGACACATAAGCACTCACGCTCATGTGAGATTGCCACGCATTCACTTGCCATTTTATATTTTTTTTTTAAGATGAAGTTTAATGTGTCGATATTCACTATGCAACCATCTAATACTATGTGTTTATATTAATTAATTGGAAATTTTTGAAGTATAAACGAAAATAAAACTTACATACAATTTTGTATTTTTATGACAAATTTTTGAAGTATGATACGAAAATAAAACTTAGATACAATTTTATATTTTTATGACAATATCATAAATATATTTAAATATAATTTATAAGGTGAAAATAGAAGAAAATTATACATGTATAAGAAAAAATTATATTTTTATTATATTTTTATTTTCATTAAAAAATAATAAAAATTACACACACATAAATAATTGTATCTAAGTAAATTTCTCTTAACAGAAAATATTACGAATGATTTTTTAAGTTAAATATTTTTTAAATTCATATAAATATCGATATTTTATTTTATTTTTCCTAACAAATAAAAATTATCTATTATTAAACTAACATATTTTCTTCAATCGCTTTTGTTGACCGATCAAAATACTGTTAGCTTTCTCAATTGATAATGAAAACTTTCAAATCAATTAGAATAAGTGCTCACTGCAACGTCAATCCTACGATGAAGCCTCAGTGTTGATCCTCGCTTCTATATCAAAAGTTATGCATCTGTGTAATCTCCTCAAACTTCAGTTCTTCCATCGATTGTTCAAGACACATTTCTAGATCATCTCGTCTTTCTAACCTTTTCAGCATTTACTTCAAGGTCAAACTTCAAAGCAATCTCAACTTCAAGCGCAAACATCTGAGCCAAAGATGTTTTTGTGTCTTCAATAACTTCAAATCATATTAGGAATGTGAGGGTGAGGAGAGAATGGACTCATGTAGTGCATCATTAGAATGCACACCTTATAGTGAAGAATTTCTTATGAGTGGAAGAAAATTTACGTATAGTTATGTCGCGAGGCCTTGGAGCCACGCCTCATGAAACTTTCAGTGGTGTCACCATAAACACCAAAGAGCCTTTAGAACATTGTCATTTTTGGGCTCTCCAATTTCTTTCTCATTGTTCTAGAGAAGGATATGACAACCATACATCTCCCGAGGATCACCACCCTAAGATATCCACATCGCACCATTCTCACAATGGAGACGGGAAATGTGTCAGAGATCAAACCCCTTCTCACCACCAAAAGAACCCATTTTTGAAACATATCACAGGAAATAGGATTCCCAAGTTTCTCGAAAAGCCATCAAAGTTGTAAAATTACGATGTAATTAGGGACCCATACAAGTATATTGAACACGTAAATACCATGCTCAACTATCACAACGCTAAAAGCACAATGATATGCAAAATGTTTGTGATAATTATCAAGAATTATCATGACGTGGTTCAAAACTCTACCATACAGTTCTAACAGCTCTTGGAAGAAGTTGTGTGATGATTTTACAACTCAATTCACGATATAAAAGTAGAAATCAAAGACAATAATCGTTCTTAGCAGGATCCATCATAAAAAGAAGGAAACTTTTGGGGAGTGTATCGACCGATTCACAAAGAAGGAAACTTTTGGGGAGTGTATCGGGCTAAAATGCTTAATCTCTGGAAAAGTATTGAGAACTGAATGCATGTTGTAACACCCCAATTCTATCCCAAGCAATTTATGCAAAATAAATCAGAGTTATAAAATTTCATTCATACAAACGAATCGGGACGTCATAAATTCTTCTAACCAATTCATTGTATTCATCGTGGATATATAACACTTTCAAACATCGGACGAACCATCGTCATAACATCTTTAATAAAATAATTCAACATCTACGCAACGAAATTCTTCAATAACATCTTTAAATAAAAACAACAACTTCGAAACATCTCATATTTAATAATCATTAATTCAAAATTCAGCAACTGAAAATCAACAATCAAAGCAATGACACCGACTCGAACTATTGAAGGTATACAACCTTCACTCGCAATTATCTGCACGTTACCAACATAAGGGCAACATTCAAACAGAAGAGGTGAGATATCTAACAATATAATAAAGCGCATGACAATTAATATATTAAATTAGATCACTAATATCACCACTTCTCATCTCATAATCAACAATAATTACAGCATATATACTCATTCATCAACATCAAATACACTTCATTATTCAATCATATAATACGACTCTAAAACTATGCAAATGCATGTGGTACCATTGGAGCAGAACTCCCATCTCAAAAATCTGTCAATTAATAGAGGCATCAACAAGGCATAGCCTTCATCTCAAAATTTGTCAATCCAAGCCATCTCAACGAGCATAAGCTCCATCTCAAAAATGCAATGTATGCGACTCATCATGAATGTAATAACAACACCCAAGTTAACAACATTTCAAATCATCTTAAAACAACAACATCTCAATCATCTCAAAACATCTCAATCATCTCAAAACAACTACATCTCAATCATCTCGAAACATCTCAATTAACAACATCTCATAATTTATTAAACATCATTTATCATCACAAAATCATCGAACACAACTTCATTAATAACATCTCACCAATACTCAACTGTATATGAATAGTACAGTAATCCAACATGTTATTATGCTAATTTATATCGTTACTGTCACTAATCCTACTGTCATAATTCTAACACCAGCCTCTAAACATCTACTATTCATTGTTCAGTCTAAAAATCAGCTCAACGATCATCTACGTGAATTAATTCTAAATCATGCATTATATGCTAGGATTACACTTCTTATCCATCATTTAATCATCTAGAATAAAGCTCATCGCGTTAGCTAATCAATGCTTCGAACGGCATATCAAACAACATCCTAAAACTCAAGTTACAGCAATTAAAAGCCAATTCTGTCAAAAACCAGGCATTATGTATCGACACAAAACCTTATGGATCAACTCATCCTGCTTCATCTGTACACTATGAGTCAACATACCCTCCTTATGGATCGACTCATCCTGGCTCAAACACAACATGTATTGACACATGCTTCTCACCGATCGACTCATCCTGAGTCTTGCAACTATCATGTATCGACGCAGGCCCTTTTTGTATCGACCCATCTTCAATCAATCAGCCTTCATGTATCGACACATCCAATTTGGGGTCGACATATCCTGCTACAGTCTGCATAATTTCTGCGTTTTCTTCTGTATTCTCACTACGGGAATTATGTTACAGTCCTACAAACCTCATTATGATCGTGATAATTCATCACCTAACATTAACCTATATTACTACATCGACTAAACAACATAATGACATCATTATTCATCCAAAATTCATCCATCTTCATCATACATCATCATATACATATCCAATTCAAGAACAAAACAAAAATCCTCTAACCCCACATATCAAACATCATGAAACCAATTATAAAGTCAGAACTCCACCATTACCTTGGATTGAAGGTCGCTCTACAATTCCGGTTGGTTTCACGTTCTTGCCGTTATTCCTCCTTCTCATGCAGCTTGCACGTTCTTCTCAATCCTTATTTCCTTCTACTGCTTCTTTCTTCTCTACCTTCTCACAAATAATAAAATAACCTAATATTCTATTATTCTATATTTCTTAATGGGTTCAAAACCTACACTCCCTTATTACATCTACTATCTCAAAATAGGCCCACATCAAAATAATATTAACTTCTAACATTATTTCACCAAATAGTAATATTATACCTCTAATATTATTATTTCTCAACTTAATAAAATAAATCCAATTTGATAATAACATATCTTCACAAATATTCCAAAAATAATTTAATTAAATAATTAATTAAATTACGGGCGTTACAACTCTCCCCCATTTAGAATATTTTCGTCCTCGAAAATTTACCTCAACCAAACAATTCAGGATAGGAGTCTCGCATCTTGCTCTCCAACTCCCAAGTCATGCTTTCACCAGCAGCTCCTAGCCAAACCACTTTAACCAAGGCAATCTCTTTGCCCCTCAGAGTCTTCATTTCACGATCCGCGATCCGTACAGGAATTGTCTCCACCGTAAGATTATCCCGTACTTGCACATCGTCCATGTGAATCACATGAGATGGATCTGAAATATACTTCCGAAGTTGCGACACATGAAACACATCATGCAAATTTGAAAGATTAGGCGGTAAAGCCACTCTATAAGCAACATTCCCCACTCTCTCCGAAATCTGATACGGTCCAATAAAACGAGAAGTGAGCTTCTTAGACTTCAATGCTCTCCCAACACCAGTCATAGGTGTAACTCTCAAAAACACATGATCACCGCTTGAAACTCTAAATCCTTCCTTCGCTTGTCATGATAACTCTTTTGTCTACTCTGTGAAGCTTTCATCTTTTCTCGAATCAACTTCACCTTCTCAGTAGTCTCACGAACAAGTTCAGGTCCAAGTGCTACACTTTCACCAGATTCATGCCAACATAACGGAGTTCTACATCTTCAACCATACAACGCTTCAAAAGGTGCCATCCCAATACTAGAATGGTAACTGTTATTATACGTGAACTCTATCAACGGAAGATGAGTGTCCCACGAACCTCCCTGCTCAAGAACACATGCCCTCAACAAGTCTTCTAACGATTGAATCGTCCGTTCAGTCTGACCATCTGTCTGAGGATGATACGCTGAACTCAACCTCAACTTAGAAACCAACGCTTCTTGCAAACTCTTCCAAAAATCAGAAGTAAATCTTGGATCTCTATCTGACACAATGCACAAAGGAACACCATGCAGTTTCATAATCACACTAATATAAATCTCAGCCAACTTCGACATTGGAAAACTGATGTTAATAGGAATAAAATGAGATG